GTCTGCGGGGCTGGCTCTAAAGGTTCTATAGTCAGCAGAGAAGAAAGGCCGCTGGGTGGCTCCACAGTTCCCGGAGAATGCACCAGTTCCCAAAAAGAGCAGAGCTTACGCGGCCACACAACATCTCCGTATATACAAAGTGATAAATGGAAAGTAAATCATCCAACGTTTCCCCCTGAAAATCAGGCTTAACTCTTATACAAACCACAACACCCAATAGGAGAGAGAAAACAAAAGGGAATGCACTGCCACAAAGGCAGAATGGATGGGGAGGGTGAGGGTGGGAGGGATACTGCGATCCGTGGTGGTGGGAAATGGGCACTGGTGGAGGGATGGGTATTCAAAATAAATTAATTAATTAATTAAAAAAAATAAAGGTTCTACGGTCACCCTGCAGAGGCTCTTGGTGACAGGCACGGCTCATCTTAAAAATGTATAGTCGAAGTGACATCTGCACTTGTTTGTTCATTGCAGCACTCTTTACAATAGCCAGAAACTGGAAGAAACCTGAGTGCCCAAGAACAGATGACTGGTTAAAGAAACTTTGGTACATCTACACAATGGAGTACTATGTAGCTCTTAGAAAAGATGAAGTCATGAAATTTACATACAAGTGGTACAACATGGAAAGTATCATGCTAAGCGAAATGAGTCAGAAAGAGAGGGATAGACATAGAAAGATTGCATTCATCTGGGGGATATAAAGTAACAAAATAGGAGATTAATACCCAAGAATAGCTGAGATCAGCACCAGGAGGATTACTCCGTAGCTTAGTGGACAATTGGGCATTCTAGAGGAAAGGGCAGCTCAGATAGAGAAGGGAACACCAAATAAAGGGTGTTTGGTGGTCCCTCCCAGGAGGGAGGGGAGATGCATGTCGAAAGTGGACTATGGACTGAACATGTTTGCCACTCAATGCCTCTTTTGCAGACCACAACACCCAAAAGGAGAGAGAGAACACAGGGGATTGCCCTGCCACAGAGGCAGGGGGGGGATGGGGGATGGGGGTGGGGGGGACGTTATCCATGGTGGTGGAAAATGGGCACTGGTGGAGGGATAGGTATCTGATCATTGTATAATTGAAACCTAAGCACAAAAATTGTAAATCTACAACTGTACCTCATGGTGTTTCACTAAAAAAAAAAAAAAAAAAAAAAAAATCAAAAAAAAAAATTTCATGAGCATCTCTGAGTTTGTCATGAGACTGAAAGAAATTCTTATGTATTGGTGACCTGGGGGTAAACACAAAATAATTCAATATTTTGGAAACGAGGTTTTAAAAAAGGAGGAAGAAATCAAGCTTGGCCTTCTCGAAGTCATCTAAGCCAACAGCTGACGAAGAGGAATTGTGTCTATAGAAGTTCTTTGAACTTCTAAATAGAAGAAACACTAGAATTTCAAAGCTACTGTTTCTCAGCCATGAATGAATCAATGAACTTAGGGCTGGGCAGTGTTCATGGAAGATTGCTAGGCAGACAGGGATGTGGAAGTAAGTCACTGTAAAGCACTCAACAAACAGTCTATCTATCTATCTATCTATCTATATGTTGGGCTGGAGCGATAGCACAGCGGGTAGGGCATTTGCCTTCCACGCGGTCAACCCCACTGACCAAGGTTCGATTCCTCTGCCCTTCTCAGAGAGCCCAGCAAGCTACCGAGAGTATCTCGCCTGCACGGCAAAGCCTGGCAAGCTACCCGTGACATATTCGATATGTCAAACACAGTCACAAGTTCACAAAGGAGATGTTACTGGGGCTGCTGGAGCAAATTGATGAATAATGGGAGGACAATGACAGTGATGGCTGGAGCGATAGCACAGCAGGTAGGGTGTTTGCCTTACAAGTGGCCAACATGGCCGAACCGAGTTCGATTCCTCCGCCCCTCTCAGAGAGCCTGGCAAGCTACCGAGAGTATTCGATATGCCAAACACAGTAACAACAAAGTCTCCAATGGAGACGTTACTGGGCCCGCTCGAGCAAATGTTATATATAGTATATAACATATATGTAAAATATATGTATGTGTAAAATATATTTTAAAATATATGTACATATGTACATATATTTTACAATATATGTACCTATGTACGGCAAAGCCTGGCAAACTCCCCGTGACGTATTTGATATGCCAAACACAGTAACAAGTCTCACAATGTTACTGGGCCCGCTAGAGCAAATCGATGAACAATGGGAGGACAGTGACAGTGACAGTAACATATGTACATATATATTAAGCCATAAAAATGAATGATGAAGTTAAGAAATTATTAATTTTTTCTTAGGTGTGACAATGGTGCTTGGGTTCTACTTGCAAGAGAGAGAGTCCCTATCTTTAGAAGGAAAAAGTGCTACCATTTTTCCAGGGACCAACCTTTCTCAGAAACCTCCTCCCGGTCCCTACTCCATGCCTGTTACTCCAAGCAATCGCATCTTAGAAACTCTGGAAGGCCCCACACAGACATCAGCTTCAGGCGGTCCCTTAGCTCACTGCCCTGGGCGCCTCTTTCACACATGTCCATCACTCTGGTTTCTTGTTTCAATTCCTTTCAGCTTCTTAAAGGTCAGAGAAGCCTTCCACGCTGGCGGTCATCTCTAACTCCATTTTTCTGGGATGCTGTATGGCTGCATCTACACTGCTGGATCTGTGGCTGTGGGTCTACACCACTGGATTCCCTCCCCCCAGGCTGCTGGTGGATTCAGATGGAGGAGTTAAAATCCAGACAGCAGGAAAAAAAGGAACTGATATGGTGTCTCTCGCTCTGTCCAAGTCCCTGGCACACTGTGTCTTCTGCAAGACTTCAGATGCCGGCAATAACTTTCCACAGGAGCCGTCAAGGCCCTGCTGAACCAGCCTCAGAGGCCACAAGCTCCACCCACGCCACCCCCAAGGCCACCTCAGTGTCCCTCCCTCCCACAACCTGCAACTCGGAACTATGGTACCTCTACCCTCTCTCCTGGGGGCTGGGGGTTCCAGCTCCGGGGTCCCCTGCTTAGGGTTTTTTGTTTGTTTCGTGGCTCACACCTGACGATGCTCAGAGGTTACTCTTGACTCTGCGCTCAGCAATTATTCCTGGTGGAGCTCAGGAGGCCATATGGGATGCCGGGGATCAAACCCACGCTGGCTGCATGCAAGGTCAGCATCCTACGTGCTGGACTAGCTCTCTAGCCCCCCCCCCCCCCACCCCGAGTTAAACTCCTGGTGCTTGACTGCTGGTGGGAATGCTGACTGGTTCAGCCCTTTTGGAAAACAGTATGAATGATTCTCAAAAAATTAGAAATTGAGCTCCCATTTGACCCAGCAATACCACTCCTGGGAATATATCCGGGAGAGGCAAAAAAAGTATAGTCGAAATGACATCTGCACTTCGATGTTCATTGCTGCACTGTTCACAATAGTCAAAATCTGGAAAAAACCCGAGTGCCCAAGAACAGTTGACAGGTTAAAGAAACTTTGGTACATCTATACAATGGAGTACTATGTAGCTGTTAGGAAAGATGAAGTCATGAAATTTACACACAAATGGCACTACATGGAAAGTATCATGCTAAGTGAAATGAGTCAGAGAGAGAGGGACAGAAAGATTGTATTCATCTGGGGAATATAAAGTAACAAAATAGGAGATTAACATCCAAGAATAGTCGAGATAAGTACAAGGAGTTTCACTCCATGGCTTGAAGGCCAGCCGCACATGCGAGGGGAAAAGGCAGCTCAGAAAGAGAAGGGAACACCAAGTGAAGGGTGTTGTGAGGATCCTCCCAGGATGGGAGAAGCATGCTGAAAGTAGACTATAAGAACAAACATGATTGCCACTCAATGCCTCTTTTGCAAACCTCAGCAACCAAGAGGAGAGAGAGAACAAAAGGGAATACCCTGCCACAGAGGCAGGATGGGATGGGGGGTGGGAGGGATACTGGGATCATAGGTGGTGGAGAATGGGCACTGGTAGAGGGATGGGTACTCAATCATTGTATAACTGAAATCCAAGCACAAAAACCTGTAATGTCTACAACTGTACCTTATGGTGTTTCATTGATAAAAATTTAAAAAATAAAATAAAATTGAATTGCCATGAGATTAAGATATAAATAAATAAATAAATAAATAAATAAAATAAACTCCTGGTGTTTGAAACGCCAGCATTCAACCTGCATGCATTCCCTCAACTCTGAACCTTCCCGGATCTCTCTCAGTGAGAGTCCTCTCCTGCCCCCACACCCCTCCAGCTGCTGTTCCTGTTTAGCTGGCCTGACTTTTCCTTGTTAGAACAGGAAACGGTTTGTTTCCTTGATGGCCTAAATCTCCCCTGGAATACAAGTGTGGGCACACTTCGACTTGGCCACGTGGAGTCTGGCCTGCGGAACATCTCACACAAACATTCCTGTTTGCCCAAGAGGGCTGGACATTCTCTCTCCATGTCACCGGCATGAGACATGGGGCGCAGGCTGGTGACTGAGCTCGTTTCTAGCCTGACTGCTGCTTGGGGCCTGCGGCAGAGCAGGGAGGATGCAGTGCCTCCTGAAACCCGGTGAATCCCAAACGGCCTGATTTTGATGCGAGGTGGGTCCTAATACCACATGTTAGAACTGCAGCGTTTTTTTTTTTGGCCTTTTTTTGGGTCACACCCAGCGATGCACAGGGGTTATTCCTGGCGGTACTCAGGGGACCATATGGGATGCTGGGAATCGAAACCGGGTCGGCTGCTTCTAAGGCAAACGCCCTGCCCGCTGTGCTATCTCTCCAGCCCCTAGAACTGCAGTTTGGACCAGAGACACAGTACGGGGTCACCTGCCTTGCACACAAGGCCCAGCTTTGATCCCTGTCACCACAGCGGATGCCCTGAGCACCGGCAGGAGTGATTCCTGAGCACAGAGCCAAGAGGGAGCCCGGAACATGGCGAACGATAGTTCATGAAGCAAAACAAAGAAAGAAACGCCAAGGATGGCAGGTCGCTCAGGAGAGGCACCACCCTCCCTCTGCTGAGCAGACCACAGTCACTCACCTGACATGCAGCGGGATCTTGGGGATATTCTTAGAGACCTTGAACCGGCCCGTGTCCCCGTAGGTGTCGGTGAAGTACACTCCCGCCACGCAAGTCACCTGGTTCCCCGGGAACGCGGACAGCACCTGGTGGGCACCGTGCTGGCTTGCCCAGTACCAGGCCTGGCCCCCGATGAGCAAGCCCCCTCCGCGCTTCACAAACTGCACCAGCTCCTCACTCAGGCCCTCGCTGTAGGCGTCTATGCAGTAAACCCCCAGGGCCGCTCCTGGTTCCGACTCCAGCTGAGCCTGGGTACCAGCACCCTGAAGGATGCTGGTGAGCGCTTCCAGGGACGGGTGGACGCCAACGGGAGAGCCGGGCGTGGGACAGAGCCAATCCACGGCGTTGCGGAGGAAAGGGGACAGGCTGGCGGCCACCAGGTAGCCCTCGTGGGCCACCACCACCAGGCGTCCACGGCCGTACATGGAGGCGGCGATGATCACCTGGCCCTTGTCGTTCACCATCACCGGGAAGGCGGCCTCGCCGATGAGCAGCAGCTCGCAGGGGACGGGGTCTTTGGGGACATCCCAGTGGGTTACGCCGTGCTTGAGAGCCTCGAAAGCAGCGGCAGGAGTTGTCGTCGCTGCCATGGCTGGAGCAGCTGCAGGAGAGCAGGGAAGAGTCTCAGAGAGCACGAAGAACAATTGCGACACGCCCAGCACCCGTCGGGTCCCTAGTGCGCAAGGAGCACCCCAGGCTACGCCCCCTTTCACATGGCAATGTGCGAGTCATAGCTTGTATGTGCTGTTAACTACAAAACCACGGGGCCGGAGAGATAGCACAGTGGAGAGGGTGTTTGCCTTGCATGCAGCCAACCCAGGTTCGATCTCCAGCATCCCATATGGTCCCCCAAGCACTGGCAAGAGTAATTCCCGTATGCAGAGCCAGGAGTAACCCCTGAGCATCACTGGGTGTGCCTCCAAAAGGAACCAAGCAAACAGACAAAATCAATAAAAGCACACGAACCCCTGCTAATTTCAGGGGATTTCCCCTCCCCCACTTTTTTGCATTTTGGGTCACACCCAGCGATGCACAGGGGTCACTCCTGGCTCTGCACTCAGGAATTATCCCTGGCAGTGCTCAGGGGACCATATGGGATGCTGGGAATCGAACCTGGGTCGGTCGCGTGCAAGCTGAACACCCTAGCTGCTGTGCTATCACTCCAGCCCCATCCCCCCTTTTTCTTACTGTGAATGACGTTGCCTGACCTCCCTGGACGTGATCGTAGCCCCTTACCTAAGATGTCCTTGCTGCCCAGGTGTCCCGGTGTCATTGCCACCACAATTGAAGTGTATCCGCAGTGTTACTGAGGCATAATACTGAGTGTGAATCCGAAGAGGGAGTTTGCAGAAACGCGCCATAAAGCAGTTTGGGAGACCACCACTCATGGATGATGCTCTCTGACCCCTTTGCTGTCTGGACTTAGCCCTCTGGGCAATAAAGGTTCCTTTGTGAGGCTCAAAAGCAGGCTCCTCAGAAGCCATGACAGGATGCAGCTAACATCAAATCTCAACTACGCCCCAGTTCCTGTTTCCCCAAAGCAGGACTTGCAGTTTCTGGTAAACTCCCAGTTGAGTAATTCACCTAGATAAGAAACTGGGCAGTTGGATCTGGTCAGTCATGAGGGGTGGCCGCACCCTTCTTGGAAAGAACCCCAAACCGTTACTGGTGCCTACTGTCTAATTGCTGACCACTGTTGTAATAGACCAATGTTAAAAATAGACCAGCATATAAACCGCTTCTTGACGGAACCCTATATAAGCTGCTTGTGATTCAGAGTTGGGGACTTGTCAAGACTCCACTGTGTCGGATGAGACTTGGACCCCAGCTCGGGCTAGCGCTGGCTCGGGCTAGTGATAAAGTTCCATTGCTTTTGCATTATCATCTGTGGAACAGGGTCTCTCTGTAATTGGGGATCTGAAACTTGGGCACAACACCTTGTTCTCTTGCCACAGACTTCGTCAAGGTGTGCTGGATGGAGCAATCTTCCGGTATAACACACGGACCTAAACTTTCAGGAAGGGAAGGACCCTCTGTAAGGAGGCCGATGGATGGGCTCGTGATATGTGGCAATTCATGCTTGCAGGAATGAAAATCAAGTCGAGACTGGCTATAGAAAAAAACAGTCTTAGGTGGGCGACACCTAAGGGAGGTCCTCTCTGAGAAAGGGCCACGACAGCTACCACCTGCTCAAGCTGAGTGAGACCTTCAAGGCTCAGGGGAGGACAATCAGGCCCAGGGCCATGTCCAGGGGCCTGGACACAGATGTTGAGCACAGAATAAGCCCTGACCATGACCCCAGAGACTCAGAAACAAATCTTGAAATCCAGCGGCTTTTGGTAGAAATGAGTGTGGACCCCGCAGTAGGTTATTGTTGCCGGGCCACTCCAGAGGTGAAGAGGTGCTGTTCCTACGCCTGCCCCCCCTCGGCGGCTCGGTGGCTGCCATTATCCAGAGGCCACTGGACAGTCAGGTTTATGCCCTCAGTGATGAGACACTGGGCCTCAAGGTCATTTCTTATTGATCAAAGGATCTGTAAAACAGGAAGAAATTACAATAATAAATGTATATGCACCTAATGAGAGACCAGCAAAGTACTTAAAACAACTACTCATAGATTTGGAAAAAGACATCAATAGCAACACAATACTAGTGGGAGACTTCAACACTGCTTTGTCACCTCTTGAAAGATCAACCAGACTCAAGCTTAGCAAGGACATACTTCATCTGAGGGAAACAATGGAAGAAAGGGACATAGTAGATATATACAGGACACTTCATCCACAAAAAGCTGAATACACATTCTTCTCAACCGTACATGGAACATTCTCCAAGATAGACCACATGCTGAGCCACAAAACATGCCTCCAAAAAATTAAGAAGATAGAGATTGTATCGACAATCTTCTCAGACCATAATGCGCTGAAATTAGAAGTAAATCACATACAAAAACAGAAAACTAAATCAAACACCTGGAAATTAAACAGTACTCTACTGAACAAGGAGTGGCTTAGACAAGAAATCAAAGAGGAAATCAAAAGGTTCCTAGAAACGAATGAAAATGAGGACACGAGTTACCAAAACTTATGGGACACAGCAAAAGCTGTGTTAAGAGGAAAGTTTATATCTCTACAAGCATTCCTCAGGAAGGAGGAGCGAGCACACATAAGTAACCTAACCTCACAGCTTAAGAGCTTGGAGACGAGATCGGGCACGTTCAGGGTGGTATGGCTGTACACGACAATTTTATTCACTAGGGTGAGTAAAGACTGCCTCTGAAAGTGAGTTCAATGATCACGATCACAATCACGACCATCCTGTTGTTCATCAATCGCCTCGAGCAGGCCCCAGTTACGTCTCCTTCATCCTAGCCCTGAGATTTTTTTTTTAAAGTGCCATATTCAAGGCTCTTTCAGGGTTAGGAGAATGAGACCCATCGTTGTTACTGGTATTTGGCATATTGGGTACGCCATGGGGAGTTTGCCAGACTCTGCCGTGTAGTAGGTTACATTCGGTAGCCTTCCAGTTTGTCCAAAGTAGGAATGAGATAATAAGATGTCTCCTGGCAGCGAATGCAGCTGGGATTGATGGGATGCTCAGCCCCTGCGCCTGACTTTCCTCGCCGGAGCCCCTTGGAGGGTAGCGGGTTGAGTTTCCCTCCCCACCCTGACCAGGGCTCCAGCAGCTGAAGACCACCAGAACCAGCCAGCACCATGCTGAGACCACTCTCCACAGGCATGACGGTACCTGCAGAGGAACACAGGCATGCGGGTCTGAAGGACTGAGATCTCCAAGCCTGCTCGAGTTCAATGGTGATGTGAAAATGTCTAGAGATCTGAGAATAGAAATGCCTTTGTCTAGCTCTCAAATTTTCTTTCTCTTCTAGCCTAATGTTAGACATATTTATTGGTTGGGTAAGTATTAAGACTCATAATTAATATTAGAATGTCTTATAAATATCACCAAGTGTGGGGTATCTCCATTTAAAAAGAAAATATTGGGTAAGTAGTCTCTAATACACCCTGGAAAATCACTGCAAAGTACTATTTCAAATTATGGAAAAATAGTTTGAAGATGAATGATTGTTGTTAAGCTAATCATGCTTAGATGTTTTCTTATTACTTTTACTTAAAACTCTTGCAAAGTCAATGCTTCTCAAATTTTAATGCTCCTCCAAGTAACCTTTGGAACAGCTCAGAAATATTTAGATATAGTAGGTCTGTGCATCTGTATTTCTAATATTCTCTTAGTGTGGTCCATGGACCATTCTTTAATTATTAAAGTACCACATTATATAGCGTTGGAATGTAAATATGCATGTATAGTGTGAGAAATGTTGATATAGATTATCAATAATAATTCACAATCCTGATTGTGCTTTATACGTGTTCAGAAAATTTGCACAAAATAATCTAATGTTTCGGTTCATTATAGACTAGAACAGATAAACGGGGTATGGTGAAATAGAACCCAAGTAACCGTATATTTTTAAAAGATAAATCAAAGCATATGATCAAAGAAAACAGAGATTTTTGACAGCAAAGTTATGGTTATCAAAAAGCTGGAGGGATGGGAAATAAGTAAAATGTGTAAAGAAAGTTAATTGTATGGTAGTTAATTGAAGTAGACTTTTGGTGATGATCATAGTGTACCATACGTAGGTGAAGTAAAAACTTGGCTATGCTTTTGCAACTCATAAGACCTACAGTACTTCCCAAAATTGATATTAGTGATTCCATGAATATCTGGATATTTGAAAGCATTTCTAATATTAAAACCAATCACTGTAAAGCATAAACAGTACTGCCATCACACGATAGAATAAGCTTCATAGTAGTTTATCTCACAACCTCTTTCCATTTTTGTTTGTTTGAGTGCTTCCAATTTGCAAACTGTCTTTTTGGTGATTACACAGAACATTCTTTTTAGTGAGTGAAGAAAAAAGCTATTGCTTTTGTGACTCATTAATTGTATTCCTGTTATTATTGAATTTTGACATTATTAACCTTAAAAGGTTAATAATGGATCTCAAAATTTTGTTTCATCCTTAAGCATATATCATGAATTTTTATTCCAGCATACAGTCCTGATTCTAAAGGCAAAATATTTTGTTGTCTCACCTGCATGCCTGAGGTATCATTAGTTCTCTTCTCTCAGCTAGACTGAAACTATTTGTGTAATCAGCAGGCAGCTAGGAAGCCCCACAGCTTGGTCTCTCTCTCTCTCTCTCTCTCTCTCTCTCTCTCTCTCTCTCTCTCTCTCTCTCTTCCTCCTTCCCTCCCTCCCTTTGCTAGTCTCTCCACACTCTGATTCGCTGCCTTGGTCTCTAGTCTCTCACCAACTCCCTACCTTTGGGGGTAGCCACACCCCATCTGGTGGCACAATCAACATATCAAAAGTCCTTCCTGATTACCCATCAGGCTCAAGGGTGGAAATACCAACTAGGGGTGTTTCTCCTCTTCTTAGTCCAATAACTTAATTAAAATCTTAAATGACATCTGAATTGTACTTCTCATTATTAGTTATTTTGTATGGACAAGGTAAGAAATACATTAAGCTTGTAGGGTGGCTTTCCTAGGGACATATCAATATAGATCTCAGACTACAGTGCTCAGACCAAATTAATCTTTCCTAATCCAGCTGTTATTTTTTGGATCGTGACAGAATTTGTCCATGACCATACTCTTAATGTACAGTGAAGTATTATGGCACTTTTGCCATTTCAATGCCAGGGTAGCTCACAGCTTGCCCTAGGTCTATCCAGTCCCTCATCAGAATCCTGCTTTTGGGGTGCTAGGAAGTAAGGGAAACTAAGGCTTATGTCAAGAGAACAGATGCCCAGGAGTGAATATCATTCAGAGACAATTAATTCCCAAGTTACAAAAGCATAGCATTAGCTGTCTTTCTGTCTCTTTACAAAAAGGACTTTACTCTGAATTAACTATTAGCCTGGCAAGCTACCGAGAGTATCTCGCCTGCACAGCAAAGCCTGGCAAGCTACCCGTGACGTATTTGATATCCCAAACACAGTAACAAGTCTCACAATGTTACTGGGCCCACTTGAGCAAATTGATGAACAATGGGAGGACAGTGAAAATGACAACTATGAAAAGGATTTAAGGAGAAGAGAAAAGCAATATTTACAGGTTAAGAGAGTCTGATTAGGAGAATAAAGGTAATTGACTGGCTGGGGAAGCAGAGAACAAAGAGATTACGAGTAAACAGAGGAGTGGGAGCACTGTGATGGGACTAACCCAATAAACCTAAGCTCCC